CAATTCAAGTGGCCACGTTAAAGACGAAGCCCAAATTTTGTGGACAACTGGATTAAGCATCTTTTAAAGAGGGCTATCCTGGAAGAAAAATCAACTTTAAAGGTGACCTTGATGTGCAGAAAAACTAACCAAAACATGTAAAATTATTAAATAATTTATTGACGTTAATTTTGCCTAAAAACACTGTAAAAAGTCAGTCAGCATGTATTTTTGGCTCGAAGTTTCTCTAGTGTTTTCTGTGGAAGGAATAAAAATTAAATCATTTCAGTAAAAAAAAAAAAAGGATGCAACTTATTTGCTGAGGGAGAATACACAGTGTGAATAGAACTCTGTACTAGCAGAGTTCCATGTCACTGTTTAAGTGTTTATCATCATATAGACAACAAACACATGAAAGCCATCACAATTATTCCTTTAATGTATGTGTTATCTTTAATGTGTGTTATCAGAGCTACTGATTTTTCAAAATATCCATACAACTCTAGTGAATGACCAGACAATACATTTATCTTATTTTGATTTTTCTAATTCTAAGTCACCTTATTAATGAGAAGGTTATTATAGAATAAAGTCTGCTAAAGGGTAAGAATCTGTCATGAAGAATATAGAACTTTTTGCATGCTCCTAATCAAAAAATCATCCCAAGAGTCCTTTCTATTATTGAGACATAAAATACTAATTGGATTGAAAACCACATTCTGAGGTGATACCCTTTATTTGTGAGAGATGTGACATCTTAGATGATATTTCCTATTTAGGTTAAATTCTTGACACATAAGAGTTCACGCAGAGGAAGTTTTTGTCCAGGAAAAGAAGAAAAGTTGAGCTGGTAAAAATATTTATACTTTAACTGGCCTGACACCATGAAATGAAGATGGCTGAACCCAATAGTGCAATTGAATATTAAGGCATTTTGTTGGTATTTTAAATTAATGAGTTAAAGTTCTCTTTAGAGCTTCTTACTTCTCTGCTCCTCAGACTCAGAATAGTCATGAGAATAAATATGTCATACATGAGACCAATCAAGAAGCAGGAAGGCAAAATACAGTCTTAGAAGATCAGAATGTTCTGTCCTAAGGCATGTGCGCCAAAAGGGCATAGACAGCAGAGGTAGAGACAGAGCAATTACTATTCCCACACACACTTTTTCTGCCACAGTGACCATGTAGAGAAGGGGTTTGCAGTTGACTACATAGTGGTTGCTTTCTTTGTCTCAAATTCCAAATAGAAACCTCTGCTCCCACTGAGTATGGCCGTGTACTCTGTAATTACAGTGTTTAGGAGGCTGAGGCTGCAGAGTCATGAGTTTGAGGGAGTCTGGCCATATATTGAAATCAAGATAAGGCTGAGCCCTTTCTCAAAATATAGACAAGTGTTGGAGGTGTAACTCAGTTTTTCTATGCATTTGCTAGTCCCTGGGTTCACCAGCCAGCACCACAAAAACTAAAGCAAGAACAAACTACTGCTCCTGTCAGTCCACAGACATACAGAGAAACACTCAAATCTATTGAAGCTTCAGTAAAATAAGTGTTTAAAGTGTTAGCTATTTTGAAATGGTTGTTTTGATTCAGATATTAAGATCTATTTAATTTGGCCAAAAGTCATTTTATGTATAGAAAAAAGGCTGGTTTCAGCTGTTTAAAATTTTCATTTAATTTTAAAATAAGCATTTATACCTAATTCATATACCTTGCTTTACTGCCAACAATGACATCTATTTAAACAATTGAAAGAAAAAGACTTTCTGTATTACTGGTGATCAATCAGGCAGTGATGAGGAAACATCTGACTGTTAAAAAGGCATTTCAGTACTCCCTGCTTGTTCACCAAATTCAAAATCTAATGCTATAATATGTGTATATTAGGATTTTTAAAATATCTTTGTGTTTGCTGCATCCTACCATCTTGACTGATGAGCCGTTTCTGATGACCTCCCAATCATACATCTCTCTTCTGCCCTCAAAAACCTGCCAACTCTAATTACACATGAACACTTAATGGAAATCATTAAAGGAGGCCCAGAAGAGAGAATATAAATAAACATGAAAGACTAGAGGAAACTCATTGTACACAGGCAATTTTGTAAGCATTTCACAGATATTAATGTATATATGATCCCCACACTAGTCAAGGAAGTAAGTGGTCATAACATCCCCATTTAAAAGGCAAGGGCACTCAGGTTCATAAAGATGGTTGGCTTAATAAAGTCACCCAGATTATAAATAGTGGATTCAGGAGGGGGCGGAGTGGGTGGTAAGGGAGGGGGTGGGGGCAGTGGGGAGAAATGAACCAAGCCTTGTATGCACATATGAATAATAAAAGAAAAATGAAAAAAAAAATAAATAGTGGATTCAAAGTCAAATAATGCTATTCTGCCCTAAGAATTGATCTCATAAGTACTGCAGCATGCCATTTCCCCATGAAATTTACCCTTAAATGAAAAATATGACAGGAGAATGCCAGGTAAATAATGATAGACAAAGGTCCTTCTTAACAGAGTGAACTGAAGCACTTGATTAATTTGAAAGCTAAGGTATATAAATAATGAAAAACAGAGTGTATTGGGACAGCATAATAGATTTGTCCTGGATTTAATCCTATTGATTATAGAGCAGTATTTTTCAAAGTAAAGAAACTTTGTTTGCAGTGACTAGGTCCCTCCTGGATCTTTGGTAATAACGTAGTTTGATCTCTGTTCTTAGAAAATTACAAACATCAATTTTTCTACTTACCTTATTGGAAATTTCCTTCGACTTCCTCAGATTTACTCCTGACAGGTTGTTACAGAATGAATTTAAATTTCCCTTTTTGCCCTTGAGACTCATTTTGTTGACGTTTCAATCTAATTCCAACGTAAATTAATTGCATATAATTACCTAAGGGAGAGTGCCTTGCTTACCTGTTATTCTCAGAATATCCCATTAGAAAAAGCCCAAAATATTTCATGCCTAGTCTAACTGAATTTTAAAAAAGTAAGATCACTAGCCATGGGGTATATATATATATGTATATCTTTGTTTGAATTTCATTGTTAATATATTATACACTTACTATGTATATTACACACACACAAGCACACACATATAATCATACACATAAGCACACACATAAAATGTAATTCATGAGTAAATAAAATACAACTTTCTAGGAAAAGATTGGACAATATTTGGTAATATAGCATCTATTGACCAAGGATATGTTTGCTGGGTATAGAATTTTATTAATTTATACATGTAGATTGACCTAGGATAATGTCTTATAACTGGTATTTTTTTTTCTGCCAAGAAATTACTAGTAAGTGTTTTCTTCATATGTTTCTAGTGAGTCTTTTATCTTGGGCTGTCTTTAAAGATTATCTTTATGATTGGTTTTCAGGAAGTTGATTTTGATACATTTCTGTGTAATTTCTTTTGTGTTTACATTTCTTAGAGTTCTCTTAGCCTCTATGTCTCTGATATTTTATTTCATTTTATTTTAACAGAATCTGATCTTGATCTCCCTGCCTTAGCCTCACATGTAGCTGGGTTTACAGATGCATATTGCCCACACCCAGCTCTGGATTTATTCGAAAAAAGTAATTTTGAAAAAAAATTCAAGCCAACATTTCTTCCCGTGTTTCTATTGTTTTCATTTAGACCTACAATTATGAATCTGTGAAATAACTTGCTTTTACTCTACAGTTCACAAAGAATATTTCTGTGATTTTTTTTTTTTTTAGTGTTTTGATTTCTCTGTCTTCATTTTGTGTGGTCTTTAGTTACCCCTAGCATCACTTGTATAAGCCACCATCTTTTATTTTTCTGTGTATAATTTTTGTGTTACTGTCTTTCAATAACTTCCTAATATTCTACTACCATTGTTTGAAGATCCATTTAGTTTTTATTTACACTTCAATTGATCCATTGCAATATTTATGTTTTTGCTAAAACATTCAGTATATTTGACATATCTATAGCAGATGTCTTAAATTCCTTGACTGCTTATTCTAGTGTCACTGTCATTTAAGGGTGTAATTTAATTTTTGCCTGTAGAGAGTCACATATTTATGCTTCCTGATCAATTTTATATTTATAATTAGATGCTAAGTATTGTAAATATTACATTAGTGAATACTGAGTTTGCTTTGATTTGTTTCTTTAAAAATGTCAACTATTTTAAACAAGGATCAGTCAGTTATATTTGAGAATTATTTTCAAGCTCCCAAATGTATGTAAAGTAGTTTTTGCATCTGAGATCTCTGTGGGATGCCTTGGCTTTTAACAGGACTCTGAACTATGGCTTTTTGTAATGTGAATATCTTTATGTCCTGTGGATTTTTAGGAACTGTTCGACTTACAATTCCCTGACTGTTCTTCTTCAATATTTGTGGACATTCAATGTAGACATATGCAATTCAGAATTCAGCCACAAACTCAAGAAAATATTTTACAGAGAAAAATATCAACAGTAACAAACTGCAATGCAGGGAACAATTAGCAACAACACCAAAAGTATGTCCTCTCTTTCCAGTACTTTAAATATAAATAAGTTCTCAAACTAAAAGGAAAACATTTGCAAGATAGAAAACAAGAAAAAGCACAAAACAATTAAATACATTTTGTTTGCCAGAGACTCACTTTGTTTACATTATCGTTTTAGGTTTAGAACATGTAACAAAAGTAAGGTTGAGAAGATAGTTATCAAGAAAACAAAACAAAACTGAAAAGCAAACATCGCTTATAAATATAAAGTTTAATATATGTTTCCATTGGGAGAATATAAAGTTGTACTGGAGTGCTAAAAGAACATTGAGTCAGAAGCATGAATGTTGGGACAGATGTGCTTTAACTGAGATCTGAAAGATGAAGGCTAATGTGGTTGAATACAAAGAAATCTTACTTTCTGTGTGCTATAAAGAGTTTTTGATGTGGAAACAAAAGTATATATCCATATCTATCAGAAATAATGTCAAGTACATTGCCATAATCACAGTTTATTAAAACAGTACTCTTTACGTAATATTAAGTACAAATTTTGAATTGATTCTTAAAAAGTCTGTAAAATGCATTTTTTACTTCTTTGTTTCTAAAGCTATAGATCAAAGGGTTAAGCATGGGAATCACTAAAGTATAAAACACTGATGTCAGTTTGTCAGTATCAAAGGAGTGAGTGGATTTGGGCTGTACATACATGAAGAGTAAAGTCCCATAGAACATCACCACCACTGTCAGATGAGAAGCACATGTGGAAAAAGCTTTCTTCCTGCCTTCTGCTGAACGAATTTGACATACCACTAGCAGAATCAGAATGTATGATACCAGGACTACCAGAAGGGAGGATATCAAGTTAATTGCTGAAAACAATATAATTAACAACTCTGTATCTCTTGCATTTGAGCACAGCATAAGTAACATGACAACGTTATCACAGTAGAAATGACTAATAACATTAGAACCACAGAAGGCCAATGTAAAAATCTTGCTAGTGATCATTAGGGCCTGAAAGGCCCCGTAGAAGTAAGGAATTGCCACCAGAACATAACAACGTCTTTGACACATGATTACCTTGTAAAGCAGAGGATTGCAGATGGCCACATAGCGGTCATAGGCCATGGCAGACAAGAAGAAAAATTCACTGATAATGAACATAATGAAGAAAGCCATCTGTATGACACAAGCATAATAAGAAATGGTATTTTGATCCAAAACAAAATTTACCATCATCTTAGGATAAATGACAGTAGAGTTGCCAAGATCAACGAAAGCCAGGTGTCTGATAAAAAAATACATTGGTGTGTGCAAATAGGACTCCAACTTGGTCAAAATGATCATGGCCAGGTTTCCCACTGCTGTGATTATGTAGATGATGAGGAAGACCACAAAAAGGGGAAGCTGTAGCTCAGGCTGCTGGGTGACTCCCATCAGAATGAATTCAGTAGGCACTGTTAGGTTCTGTGGTCTCATTTTGTCCTTCTGAGAAGAGAGAGAGGAAGTGTTATAAGTTTTCATATGTAATGATCAAAATAAATTATAAAATTCATAGAAAGAATGGAAATTTTTATTCTAAGGTGAGAGAAAATAGTAATTTCAACCTCTGATTGTAAAAAGTTAATGCAAGGACCGTCTTTCCAAAAGGAGGATCTATATGAAATATGTGCAATGTCATAACATAGATTGAATTTTTAATAAAGAGTCAATGATATGTGGAATATACCTATTGGTAACAAAATAATACAGGGGTTAATACAGAACTATTGGACTTTATTTCCTTTATAAAATGGAGTCACAATTTTTCTTAAAATACTTTCACACTCTCTCTGCTTCCAGCTTCCACCTGAGCTTAACCATGCTTCCCTTTGTATTTCCCTTCTTTAACTTTTAATTAACTCCTATTATACCCACGGGTCTTGCCATGGATTCTTCCTGGTGGGATACAAAGAATTTGGAAGTCTTCTGATCACAGACTGCACCAGTGCTGTTAACATTTTGTGGTGAGACAGAGAGTAGAAGTGAATGGAAAGCCTTTAGGACCCAAATCATGGGGTAACAGGGCTATCGATCTCTAAAAATGAATGAGATCTCCATGAGCAATCCAGATCTCCATGAGAAATCTTGATTGTGCTGGGCAATAATGCAAATACCTCGTGTCCAAATGAGTTTCAAGGGAAAGAAATAGGAGAGACAATTTCCTCTTGCAGTAAAACTACAGATGATATAACTCAAGGGCTAACTTCACTAAATTCTGAGAATTGCTTCTTCTACTTAAACACAACTACCACTGGTTATGATTTCCAAATAATATGCACTCTTCTACTAGGAACCCCTGGATCATCTGTGACCTGGGATTCCAGATGTTTCCACTTACAGAGAGCAAGAGCAAGAGACTCCTGACCTAGGCCTATGTCCCATGTCAGCGGGAAGTAGTTAATGACTGTCTATGACTTCCAATTCCCTAAAAGATTTCAGGGTCTCTAGTCCTTGAATGAAGAATGTTAGATTGCAGTTAGCCATGAATGATGGATGAGGCAGGATAAATAGATGAGGAAACAGGGAAGTTATATCATTTTAATAATTATTAAAAGGGGTTTTCTGGGTACCGGTGGCTCATGCCGCTAATCCTAGCTACTCAGGAAGCAGAGATCAGAGGATAATGGTTCAAAGCCAGCCTGGGCAAATAATTGTGAGAACCTATCTCTAAAAAACCCATTGCAAAAAAAAGGGCTGGTGGAGTGGCTCAAGTGGGTAAGCCCAGTACTGCAAAAGAAAAAAAAAAAAAAAAGAAGGTGATGAACATGGCAAATTCAGATACTAAAATTAGAAAGTAAAAACTAAAAAACCAGCAGGACTAGTCATCCCCTTCCATCTCCTTTAGCATATTAAGTTGCAAGAACGGGTCTATCTGCTTTCCAGGGCTATCTGCATCTGCCTTTCTCTTTGAGATGTTAACAAGCTCCAAAGCTCCTTGGATGGGAGGAGGGACAGAAAGAATGAAAGACATGTCTACCAAATGGAAGTTCTAATACACACCTTTTGTCCCTGTGATTTGAGGAAGTTGGATGACACCTTCCTGTTTTAACATCCTTTTAACCACCAAGATCCATTATCTTTGGCCATGTGTTTCCCTCAGCTCTCTGAAAGTATAGACTAAGAGATGAGGGCCAGCACTTGAGTCTGTACTTCCATTTACTTCATGGGGAGCAGGAAATGATTCTCCTTTTTTCATTTCTCCCCACTTTTATCCTGTTGTACTGAGGCAGACACATTCCCAAGTTCTTCCCTTTCCACAGGTTAGCATAAGTTTTAAAAGCACCTGGGAAAGAAAAAAAACCTCTCTCTTTTTCCAGCTTCCACCTGGTCCCACTGTGCTACATTTTATAATTCCCTTCCTTGACTTTTAATAAACTGAATTACACCCCTCAAAAAATACTTCCTTTTTTTTTTTGACAATTCTTATGGGGATTTGGTTCTCTTAACGACAGAAGTATACATAACATGAAACCAATGAAATTTAAACTTACGGTCTTTCATTTGTACTTCAGAGGTCCTGTGTGGGGCTTTTAAAAATGAACTCACAAAGATATGTCTTTGCTCAGTTTACTGAAGCAACCTATATTAATTAAAATCAGCTATTCTCACTTTCTCTTTTCATCCAAACTTTTACTCCATCACATGATATCTGAAAACATGGTGCATCAACCTATCTCCAGGCAATTGTAGGGTTCAACTAACAGGGAATTGAAATAATGGTACTGTGTGTGATGATTGCTGGATCTGTTTGCAAGGTTCAAAATCAGTGATATTTATTATTGAATAGTGTTCTCTTATGCTATAGCAAAGGCTTTCAAAAACACTCTTATCCTCCAGTATGTGGAAATGAGACTGGAATTTCATTAGAAAAATTAAACTACTCATAGATTTTATGTTGTTTTGACAAATAGTTTATTTAAAATTGAATTTAAAATTTTTCCATTCTAAATATTTCCATTTTTTTCTCAGAAAGTATGTACAATTTTACTTCTTTTTCAAAATAGAAAACCTTAATTAGTGTAGCTTAGAAGACATACATCATGTGGATCAATTCCTACTAAAAATACAGTTTATGTCAACATGCATGAAATTTGAGAATTTAATGTGATTTATTTCATATTATATAACATGAAGATGGCAGGATCTATAAGTCATTTAAAATATTCTTTTTAGCATTTATTGTACTGTAATTAATAAGCTAAATTATTCCTGGAATTTTGCAATAGAGCATTTAGAGCAAAGAATACTATGATTTTCCAATATTTCAGTAATAAGTGCCAGCCCTCTGTGTAATAAAGCTACCCTCGGAAGTGAGGAAAACAAAGTGTGCCTTCCCTGATTGAGCACAGTGAACCTACTTCAGCTTAATCTACTGAATTCTCTGCTATCAGATTCTACATCTGAACAATGAAAACTACACAACTGTTACTTCAATTGAAGAAGTCTCTTTTTGAAAACTTCATTTTGAATGCATAGGGCCACAGAGTAGGATTTTACTATAGACAAGAAGCATTGTATTGAGCAAAAGAATTTAGACTTACAATCTTACTATTTGAAGTATTTACATTTTTCCAAGGATTCTCTAGTTTGTTTCTTAAATCTCTCTCCTTTTTCAATGTCAGTTATTATATCACTGTGAAGATATCTGCCAATCTGTATCCTTTTAGTCTTCCTGTGTGGCAAAGAATATCTCTGGTCTTCTCTGAATATCTTAACTTGCATAAGCTAAATATCTCCATTTATGGCAAACCATAAAGGCAGAGTACAAAATGTATGAATGGAGGTGGCTCAATTTTACACTTCATAACTGCTCATATTAGAAATTATTGAGAGTTAATATTTTACCTGAAAATTCAGTCCTAGTAGATTCTAATCAATGAGATCAATGATACACTTTTAAGATTTTCTGGCTTACTTTTCACTTGCAATATCTAAGGGGCACATTCAACTGTCACAAATCAAATAGGTTTATGACATCTATTCAGTTAGAGAATTTCATGCTCTAGAAACAAAATACTCAATCAGGGGACAACAGTTAACACAGAAGATAGTGATTTTTTAGTATAGGTGAAGGAATCATCTTTCACAGACAAGAGTGTTGACAGACTTCAAGAGCAAGGGAAAATTCGCCAGAACCCTGACTGAATCATTCACATGAAACCACCATGACTCGAATATCTTAATACCTTCTCCAAACCTCTCAATTAGACGCTACAGGTTTCCTATTCTCACTTCTCAGACCATCTCTCATACTCTCATTACCGCTCTCTCTGTTTTCTCTTGTTCCTCTTGGAAACGTTAATGGCATTAGCACTTTTTTTCTATTGTTTTTGAGTTTCTTGCCAATATATGTAGTAGTTGTTCGCGTTCTGATATCGTGTGTACTTAATTTATGTTACGAGTACATAGTTTCTCTATGTTACGGAAAATTTAATACTATATCGAATTTTATTCTCCATACATCATCTTTATCTTGTGAGGCACTGAGACTTAAAGATACATATAAACAGTAGCGAGTGGATTTAATATGAATAAATAGGACATTTGCCTGTGCTATCGCATATGTTATCCCTTGCTCTGTTACGCATGAATATGTTCGCCTCGATGTGGATACGAAGAAAACTCTAGGAAAAGGAAGAAAACAACATACATGAGCTCAACTCCCTGGAGTTCTAGATCAGAGAGGTCCTCATTCCCTCATATTCCTCAGGTGCAAGTATTAGAGAGTCTAGACCATAGAATGGGAAAACACATACATGGCAAGAGTTACATCAACATACTATCGTGTAGACAACAAAACTTCCACATTGGTGTCCAAAGGTAGGGTGCATTGCGGTGTTTGAGCAGAATAATTTATCTCTTTCTACACTACATGCCCTGAAATATAGTGTCGGCAGGCGATAGCAATAATTATATTGTGTTTGAGGATACTCAATGTGTGAATCTCTCTTTTTGGAGGAAAATAACAGTTAACAAGTGTTGTGAGCCTCTCGATAAACTGCAAACCATTATAGATAAGTGTAGGCGCAGAATTGCACATATTTTCGAACCGTATCACGTATACATGGTTTTTCTACATTTATTATTTATGTGTTTAATTGCTGGAGTATGGAATAGGAAGGAGGTACATGTGTTCGGGTGCTCATAGATGTAAGTGCTGCTGTAGTGCAATATATCAAAGTGAACAGGTGGTTCAGTACTGCGCTTCCATACTCTCTGTCCCAACTCGCGAATCTGCTTACGTCCGTCTCCGTGCCACCCCGATGTTCCTGACAGTCGTGTATGTCAATTTACAACATGTGTAATGCGAGTATGGTGTCACCACATCTCAACCCTCGCACCACCCTCCTGCTGGCCTCAACCGCGCTATGCGCCACATGATTCTACCCAATGCACGTGGCAATTATAGGAATCACTTACGCAATCGAACTTGATTTCCATGCCCCCACATT